TACCCAAGACAGAAATTTGGGAAAAACTAGCCAAAATGTATAAGACCACACCTGATGTCATCTTTATGTTTGGATTCAGAACCCACTTGGGTGGTAGCAAGACCACTGGCTTTGGCATGATTTATGATTCCTTGGATGACGCAAAGAAAAATGAACCCAACCAGACTGGCAAGACATGGCCTCGATGAGGAGAAGAAGACCTCAAGAAAACAGAGAAAGGAACGCAAGAACAGAATGAAGAAAGTCAGGGGGACTGCAAAGGCCAGTGTTGGTGCTGGCAAAAGGAAGGAGTAAAGATTCTTCGGTGACTTTATCTGTGATGGTTGTGCAGATTTTTCATGAGAGGATTAATAAACTATAAACTTTTTTTTAAAAAAGTAAAATGATAGACACATTACTTAAGTAGGTACAGGATAGTTAACAGTCAACAACTAACATGATAACAATAATAATGAAGGGATTTGTGGTCTCATCCTGGCGCATTTGGTTGTGTGTGTGTGTGTGTGTGTGTGTATGTGTGTGTGTGTGTGTGTGGAGGGGGAGGGAAGTTACAAGTTACTCTGACATTTCATAGGTATGTTATCTTAGATGCAAAAAGACAATAGGCTCAGTTAAGGTAAAAATTGACCTTGTCAGGGAATATACCGGCCTAGGACATGACTACCCACCATAATTGCTTTTAGTTCAAGTTTTAATTTCAGACCATCCTTTGTGGTTACTTTAGGTCTTTAAGTTTCCAATTGTGAAGAAGTGACAATTTTCTAACTAAAATAAATTGATAAGAGATTATGATCAGCTCAACAACAGCAAGGACAGGGGCCTGGAAAAGATATGAGTTTAATGGCCCAATTAGGTAGGGGAATAAATGTAAATCTAGAAGGGAAATAACAAGTGTCCAATGGACAGATGGCCAATAACTTTGAGACACTTGGCACAAATGTTAAATACGTAGGAACATATTAGTTTGTATAGTCCTTAACGACACGCAAGTACTGTATTACAGCCAGGAATACCCCAACTCATAGTAACAAATTTAGCAAAAATCAGTTAAAATGATGAGGCCTCCCTCTGGTCTGCAGGGGACACAGGACCTCACTCGGGGACATGTGAATCAGCCCAGTGGTCCTGAGGAAACCTGGCTTGACAAGATGATGCATTCCTGTGCCCTTGGGTTCACTGATCTTACTCTTGGGGACAGATCTCAAGGAAACAGCTCAAGAGGAATAGTAGAGTAAGACTCTCTGCCCAGGTGCCTGCAGTTAGAAACCGGTTACTTAAAATTCTGTGTTCAGAATATTCTGTTGCCATAAGAAATTCCTCTCTGGAGTCAGAGAGACAAGGGAGCTCATCTGAAGTCTGACATGTAGCTGTGTGACTTCAGATATGTCACTTACCCTCTCTGAACCCATTCCCTTTTGGATAAAATGGGGGGTAAACAATAGATGACTACCTCCTGGGTTGTGTATTAAGGGAGGTCATGTTTATAAAGTGCAGTGTTTAACAAAGGGTAGCGTATTAGAAGATGGCTACTGGATGGATCCTGGAGAGAGAGTTCCTGCTTGCAAAGGATGAAGTAGCATCAGGAAGTCAGCTTTGTATCTTGAAGAAGAGCTAGTGTCTTTGACTCCTAGTTTACTTTTTAAAAAAATATATATTTTATTGATTTTTTACAGAGAGGAAGGGAGAGGGATAGAGTGTTAGAAACATCAATGAGAGAGAAACATGGATCAGCTGCCTCCTGCACACCCCCTACTGGGGATGCGCCCACAACCAAGGTACATGCCCTTGACCGGAATCGAACCTGGGACCTTTCAGTCTGCAGGCCGATGCTCTATGCACTGAGCCAAACCGGTTAGGGCTCCTAGTTTACTTTTTAATAAAAATCTTTATTGTTGAACGTATTACATAGGTCCTCCTTTCCCCCGCCCACCAAACCTCTTCCAGCCCACTCCCGTCCTCCCCTTCCCCCCAAGCCCTCACACCCATTATCTGTGTCCACAGGTCCACGTGTTATGCATATATGCATACAAGTCCATTGGTTGATCTCTTTCCACCCACCCCCTCCTGCCTTCCCTCTGAGGTTCAACAGTGTTCATGCTCCTAGTTTACTTTTATTACAAAGTCAGAAAAGGGACAACTGATCTCTGCCAACTACCGAGGAGTCCACCAAAATGCAAAGGGAGGCCCTTTAAAGGATGTTGTAAGTTCACCCGAAGCGGAGAGTACAATGTTGGGCAAGGCTCCCACGCCCACTCCAGGGTCAAGGTTGGAGTGCCTCCAGGAATCTGGCAATGCACATTTTTTGAGACCTGCTCTGTGACAGGGGCTTTATAACCTCAACTTCGTAATTTTTATCTCCATTTTGAAGGAGAGGAAATCTGCCCAAGGTCTCACATTAAGTAACCGGATATGGCAGGTCCCCAGGCCCGCGCTCCAAACCACTGCACCCCACAGCCTCCAGCTGCCCCGCCAGGCGCAGCTCGGGTGAGCGGCAGGCACCCCCAAGGCCGTGCAGCCAGGATCTCCGGAGAGGAGGGCTGAGCCGGGGGTGGGCACGGGCCCCTGGAGATGGGGCGTCTAGGGTCCTGACCTCCCACCCATTGCACCCCGGGAGCCCCGAGAGCGTTCCGCCGCCGAGCCCGCCTCCCGCCAGCAGGGGGCGCCGAGGGGCGGCGGTGAGGCGCGTTGGGCGCCGCCGCTCCCTCGCGGAGCCGGGGCCGAGGCTGCCGCGCTCCCAGGCCTCCGCGGCGAGGCTCCGGGACGGACGCGGGGCGCAATCGAGGACCCGGAGCCCCTGCGAGAGGGCCTCACCGCCGCCCCTCCTTCTCGGTCCGCGCCTGCCCGGAAGCGCCCGCGCCGAGGGGGCGGGCCCGGGAAGCGCTTCCGGGGGCGGGGGGCGCGGGCTGGGCGGCTGCCGGAGCGGCGGGGACGGGCCTGGCGCCGGCGGCGGCGGCGGCGGAGGGAGCGCCGCGGGCGGGCGATGTGAGCGCGGCGCTCGCGGCAGGTGAGGCGTGCCGGCCGGGGACGGCGGGCGGCGGGCGCAGCTCGTCAGGGCGGGCGGGGCTGGGGACGGTGCCCGGCCGCTGACCGGCTCCCGTGGGCGCGGCGGGGCGGGAGCCTCCGCGCCTGGTCAGCCCGGCGGGTGGGCGGGAGGGCGGCGCGGGCTCGAGCCGAGGCCGGGCGGGGTCGGGAGGCCCGGGCACCTGCTGGGCCAGGCGCGCGCCCCCGAGGGGCCCACGGTGCGCGCCCGGAGTCCAGGAGCCGAGGAATCGCGCGCTGCCAGCTGCCCTGGGCTCTCCAGCCGCCGCCCGGGCGTCCGGGGATCCCCCGCTTCCGGGCCCTTCGCCCTCGAGGGCGCTACCCCTTTGTACGAGGCGGCCGGGTAGATGGAAACCTTGGGTAACCGGGCCGCGCCGCGGGGTTGGCGCTGCTCTTGCCCCCAGCCTCCGCCTTTCCCCGGGCGGCGCGTCGCGCTTGGCCCGAGACGTCTCCATGGTCACTTTCGCCCTCAGCCGGTCCTGCCATTACCGAGGGCTTGGCCGGGGCTGCAGACAGGCTTCTTCTGGGCTTGGCGGCTGTGCTTTAGGGCGATCGGTCTGGGGGTCGCCGTCTTGAGGCTTTCCGCAAGCCTCTTCCGTGCCGGGCCTCAGTTTCCCCCTCTGGGCAGTGAGGGTTTTAGATGAGCCCCCGCAGACCCTTCCGACTCTGCCACCCCGTGCATGTCTGGAATTGGAAGGGCTGTCCCTGGTTCAGCATATTGGGCAGTTTCACTGAAGACTTTTTGCAAATGGGGACTTTTTGGCCACTTCATACGGTAGGTTTCAGACAGGCTTTAAAATGATTCCAAGAAGCGTTTCTAAACCTTACCTGACGCGCAGTCCACCCCTTGCTTTTGTTCCTAGGAGTGGTCAAGCACATCCCTCTGAGTTTTTGCAGGCAACATTTTTGTTGTGGCTCATATTTGCCCGTTTTCTCTTTGTTCCCCGGTTCGGGCCCTCTTTGCTTCACATCTGGATTATTGCAACAGCTTCTTAGCTGGTCTCCGACTTGAGAAGTACCCGCCTCCCCCATCCTTCCTTTATGCTAATGCCAAACTTAATATAGGAAGTAAAAAAAAAAAAAAAAAAAAAGAGTTGAGTGTTTGCTTGCTTATTAAATGTCAAGATGCTGTTCCATGTGGTGGGGGAAAGTGTGGTAGAAGACACATTTAGCCCCCGAGCAGTCAGCTTTATGCCGGGTGCTGAGACTTTACCTGCAAAGAGGTAATTTATTGGACAAGGCTACGTGCTGTAGAATCAAGAGGAAGGAGAGATGGGGGTCATTATAGGCCAAGTGGTCAGGGAAGGCCTAAAAGAGGTAGTAGGGCTTGTTAAAGGGTGAGTAAGACTGAGATAGGAAAAGAGGAATCAGGTCCAGTGATCTTAGGGAGTTAGTGAATAGACCGGCCTCCTTGCAGAGAAGGATTCATATGGGCAGAGGATAAGAGGAAGGATCGATTGGGCTAGTTCGTGGAAGAACTTGAACACTGGGCCCGAGTGGAAACTATTCTCTCTCGCCCGGGTGAGGCCCGGAGACTAGGGCTGTTCCTGATAGCTTGTAGGAGAGGACGGGAGCCCTTAGGGGCCAGGTGATCAGGCCAGGGCATTGATACCACGTTGTGTCCAGCCATTGCCCAGCCTGTCTTTTCACGGCTCTCCTTGGCTGGCCCCTCCTCACCTACCCAAAACTATTCCCTGCTTCTCTCTCTCCCAGCTGGTCTCCTTTGGGAGCGAGTTTCTGACGGTCTCTAGGGCAGCGATTTTCAGCCAGTGTGCCTCAAGGATTTTTAAAACATCTAACATCTGACTATTTAGTCAGGGGCACTGACCTCTTTCCCCTTTGATTGTCAATTTTAAAAAGAATGACAACAGCCAACACAACAATAGCTGTCCGGTGTGAGTGAGTGAATCAAAATGATACTTTCTTGGGGTGGGGGGGGGGGGGGGAGGTCAGATCGGCAAAAAAGTTTCTCTTTTTGTGTGCCACAGAATGTTAGGAATTAGTGTATGGGTACCATGAGCTGAAAACGCTTGGAAATGGCTTCTCTAGGGCTTTGCTCCTGCTGTTTCCCCTTCTGAAGTGCTGGCCTCCTTTTTCTTCTCCTCTGTGTAAATTCTCCATTTCACTTCCTTCAAGCCCCTGCTGAAGATAGACTTCCTCCAGGGTGTTCCCCGACTGCCCTACCCCCATGCCTTTGTGGCACTCGGAATCTAAAGCGCAGGATTCAGCACTTGTTCTTGTTCTTGGCCTGACTGGGAGGTTTATAGGGGCATTAGACCCTAATGCATCTACCTCTCTGAGCCCTTGTAGTATCCAATACTGTAGCTGGACTGCTTTAATAGGCACTCAAATACTGGATTTTTGTTGATAAGCAATTTTTTTTAAAGGACATTCTGTGATCAGGCTTTTCTGTCCTGTGTTGCATGTCTCCTGCTGCCGATCAAGGTGGATGTGTTCAGTTTTCATTCTTAGGGTGCCAGTAACATAAAACAAAGTTTTGAAACATTAAAATGTTTACTCGTACTTGTGGGAAAAGAAAAAATATCATGTAATTCTTTGTTCAGAGGCTGTGGGGAAAGAAAGACCATCAATCAGCTTTGGAATCAGACAGGCCTGGGTTTGCATTCCAGCAAGGCCACTTACTACAGCTATGTGAACGTGGGCAATTTACATAATGTCTCTGAGCCTCCTTACTCACCTGCAGGGTGGGGATAAAATCCACAGAGTTGCTATGAGTTTTAAAATGAAAAAAAAAGTTTACGAAGAGCTGGCAAAACTTGCAGCACCCACTAACTGCTTATTACATTTTTAATCATCACTCTTATTAATATTAGGTGTGAGTGTACCACAGTGGGGAAATGATAGGCCGCCGAACCTCAGTGTATCCAGTGAGTTGTGGGTTTCTGCATGTCCGGGGTTCTGCTTCTACCTTCCAGCTCAAGCACTTGTTAAAAATGCCAGTCATGAATCTAGAATGCCATCACTATGTCTTATTCTCATTAATTTTTATGTTACTTTTGTTTAAATTCTGCTTAGTGTTTGTCAGACCTCTTCATTGTGTTCATTTAATGTTTTGTGGCTGACAAACTGTTGAATTTAGCTTAGTGAAGGTCATCAACTGAATGTAGTTTAACTTCCAATGGTTATTTTCTGGTTGATTTTGATGGCATGGAAAACCTCATGGGAGAAAGCAGTTCAAGGTGAGCTTTTCTAACCCTTTTGTCATAAGAGACGGGACTTGCCGTACTTTCCAGGTCCAGGGCCCCCTGAAATGCCAGCAGTAAGCACATATAGGATGCTGCTCCTGGACATTTTTTAGTTCTTTGCCTTAAGAAAGCTTGTTCATTTTTTTTACCCAAAACAAGTCTTTCTAATTTATGATTGGAATTTGAAACATCTATTTGCTCACTTCATAGACAGAAGTAAAAAGAATGGACATTGTGCAGAGAAATGGATACAAACTACTCCAAGGTACAGTACATGGTAACCCCTTAATTATCACTGTGTCAGTGAGAATGCTTTCCACTCAAAGTTGATCAGTGAGTCCCACATCAATAAAAACCCTGCATTTCTCCAGGGTGCCTGGATTTAAATCTTACTCTTACAGGATTTAAGAATCCTGACTCTGGAGACTGATAGATCTGGGTTCCAATCCTGACTCAGCCAGCCTTAATGACGTTGGGAAAGGCTCTTAGTCTCTCGGAGTTTGTTTCCTTATCTGTAGAATAAGGATAGCTGCAATATCTATCTCACAGTGTTGTGAAGATCCGTGAGCAGGTAAAGGGCTTCCTTAGCATCCAGCACACAGTAGGACCTCAGTCACCGAGGTTTTCCGCATTGCCAGTAAGGTTAAAGGGGCCCTTCCTACCCTGCTAGGAAAGCTCAGAAGAAGCTTCTGATGTTTTGCAAGACAAACCCCACTGTGAAACCAAACCGCTCTCAGAATTGGTGTATCTGAGCAGCCTTGGAGAATGTTAGCGCCTTGGTGGGAAATCTAACAGTTTGGATAAAAATGTTCTTTCAGACTCACATGAATTAATGCAGTAAGAACTCTAGACTTGTTTTCTTTTAAATTGGGACGAGTGCCTCATGAATATCCATTGCAGGATGTCATTTTCTTTATTTTTTTCCTTGCCTGGGCTTTCAGCAGCACCAGAATGTTTGTTACTCGGCTGCTCCTTTCTAAAGGATTAGATTGTAATTCCTGGCAGCTCAGTTTTAGTTTTGGTCTAGACTCGGGCAGAAATACCTAGAAAAATTATTTTTATATAGTTTTTACGGTTGCTCTCATGCCTGTCGTCCTTAGTGCCTCCTTCTGTGGTCTTTTTAATGACTTTTTGTATGAGAAGGAAAGTTAGGTATGTTTGGATCTTCAGTGCCCGATAGGGAAAGCCTTGTTTGAGTTGTGTCTCTCGGATCAGCATCCAGCAGGTTTTGGAATCATGAGCGTGTTGATGGAGAATAATGGTACCTCCGGGTGCCTTAAACAACTTTCAAGTTTGCAACCTTGCTTTCCTTTCTTGGAAGTGTCTCTGGGTGTTTTCAAATGAAGTGGAGCACATTAGAATGTTGATTGGCTAGAGCAGCGGTCGCCAACCTTTCGGACCTCATGGACCACCAGTGGTCTGCGGACCACCGGTTGGTGACCGCTGGGCTAGAGGGAAGGAGCCATCTTGCTAGATGCCTGCTGGCAGAGACGGTCCTGCATCTCTTGGGTCCTCAGCAGAGCAAGTTGAAAGCTGAGGGTGAAGCTCTGGTGACAGTTGTGGATTTTGAGCCACCAACTTGGTTTAGGTTGCATCACCTGACATGTGCTGAGAGCCCCTCTCTGCTGGACACACTGCTGGGCTTTGGGCACACAGTCCCTGCCCTCAGAGCTCAGCAGCCCCGGAGGCTCAAAAAATCAGTCCCTGGCTAATTGCTTGTACACTTTTGTTCTGATTGTCACTGTGGGGAAACAGTCAGAGAGCTGTACCTAAGGATGCTGTAGAGGGGATTTCAAGGCCCATGTGGGTGTTTGCCCAGATGATATTTACATGTCCTTTCTCATTTTTAGGTTCTCTTCAGAATGGGTCAGCAGTGTGAGAAGATGTCACTGGTTTTGGTTTCCATTATACCATTTCATTACAGCTTAATTAACAACGTGTGATGCAGAAACGATGTGCCACGGAGAGGGCTAGTTGTGACTGTTACCTCCATCATGAGGTATCATGCTTGCTACAATACTTCTTTTATAGGAGCCAACCACTTCTCTGGCCTCAGCCGCCTTTTTCTGTCCTCGCTCCAGTTTGTGCAGTTTTTGGTTACTCCTGGATTGGTATCTCCAGGTCTTGTTTCTCTGCAGTTCCAGCCCCACATTCCCCACTGCTTATTGGACAGCTCTTCTCAGATGCCCAGTGGGTACCTAACAGCCTGACTGAGGCTGAACTAACTTGCCTTCTAGAATAGGTAGCTTCCCTCGGTCTCCAAAACTTGTTAGGTCTTTCTCTAAACCCATGTTCAGGTTGGCGACGGCCAGATTTGGTTTGAGTTTTCTAATCCAGCATTCTAGGCCCTCCACACTCCAGCTGTGGTGCTCCTCTTTGCCATGCCGCCCCTGTGCCTGGGCCCTGGCTACTACCCCAGACATTTTCACTCTTCTCTGCTCTTGCCACTCCTTCTGTCTTGAACGTTCTTCTATTTAAATACAAAATCCTGTTCAAATATTACTTCCACCATTAAGTTTTATTTTTGTTCATTTTGATTTTTAAAAATCTTTTTGATCAAACGTAATCAGTGTTAATTATTGTACCTCATAGTTCTTTATTTCTGTCTCTATAATTGCTTGATAAAATAATTATTAATTTGCAGCCTATCTTTCTCTAGATTCTTTGGTTTAAAAATTATATATTCTTAGGTAACAAGTCTTAGACAAAAAATTTAGAAAGAATATAGCTTTATGATTTTTTAAAAGTATAAAATAAAGTGTTCCCTTCCCTCTCTCCAGTCCTTAATTCTCATCCCCCAAAGTCACCAGCATTAATAGTTTCATGCATTTACTTCCAGAATGGCTATAGTAGCATATATTTCATGCATTGCTCCCAGAATGGCTACAGTAGCATATATTTTTTCTTTTAAAAAAAGTCCATAAAGGGGATCACATCTATACATACATCTTGTTCTATATCTTGCTTGTTTTGGCTAAATATTAGAGCTTTTGTCAAAGCATACAGATCTACCTATTATTTTAATGGCTGCAGGTGTTTCATTGTTGGTTGGTTTTTTGAATCAGCCTCTTGAGGTTGATCCCCTCTCTTTATTATTATTATTATTATTATTATTATTATTATTATTATTATTTACTATAACAAATACAAGTGCTCAGTACAATATCCTAACAAACTTTTGTAAGTACTGTATATTTTAGGCTCAGTTCCCAGCAGTTAATTGTGAACCAAATGTCTTCTCCGTTTTGATCCCTCTGACCAGATTATCCCTCAGGATTACGCTTGTCAGCTCTTTTAAAATGTGCCCAAACCTGATGCATTACAAATGGCCTCTCATTTTTTCTTTTTGTAATTCACATGCATTTAGTCATGAATAAAGCTAAACATCTTTTCATATGTGCTTTGGTCATATGTGTGTTTTTTTAACTGTTAATACCCTTTGCCTCTTCTATAGGATTTTTCTGTGTCACCGCCATCTGTTTGATTTATAATATAAATTAAGGAATTTGCAAAGTAGCCCTTTGTCAATTGTGCATGTATTTTTCCTCACTGTGTCATTTATTCTTTAAGGAGATTTTTTTTTTCTTGTCATCAACTTCCATGTTGTCAAATGTATTTGTCTTTGCCTTTGTGGCTGCTGGGATTTATGTCATGTTTGGAAAGGCCTTTATATCATTATTATAAAAAATTCATTCATGCTTGCTTTTAGCTCTTTTTTGGTGATAATCAAGTCTTTTTTTTTTTTTTTAAATATATTTTATTGATTTTTTACAGAGAGGAAGGGAGAGAGATAGAGAGTTAGAAACATCGATGAGAGAGAAACATCGATCAGCTGCCTCCTGCACATCTCCCACTGGAGATATGCCCGCAACCCAGGTACATGCCCTCGACCGGAATCGAACCCGGGACCCTTCAGTCCGCAGGCCGATGCTCTATCCACTGAGCCAAACCGGTTTCGGCGATAATCAAGTCTTTTTAAAATACTGTCATAAGAATAAAATGGCATTATCGGGGTGTGGTGCTACGTTCTGCAGCTTTTGGGTGGGATCTTGCAAAGATTTCAAGTACCTTTGCTTTACTAAGCCTTGTTGTCATATGGTCTTGCATCAGATCTAGTTTTACTTTTAGAGCCTGTGTGCATGGTTATTTCTAGGACCCCTCTCCTTCACTTTTTGCTTCAGGACTGGGAGGGCTGACCCAGGCTGGCTGGTATGGTGCTTTCTAGCACAGTACCACTCTCCGGTGGCTGTTGGCCATCATCCTCACTGTGTAAATGGCCTCCCTCTTCTGGTACCTAGTCTGCTTTTGCTCCCCCACGTGTGTCCATTTTCTTCCCCGAACCAGCTGGCTCTGCACTCCTTGTGGTTCTATCTTGCCCCTGGCCTGCACTGGCCTTGCTGCTGTTCTCGGTGCTTGGTCAGCCCTGGAGAGCCCCTCACGTCTGCTCTTGCTCTTTGAACACCAGTCTCAGTGCTGCTTTGAATTCTGTTGAACTTGGGCTGAACCTGTATCTTGGCAGCATCTGCTGTCTATGACTTTCACCTTCAAACAGTAAAACGACCAGTTACTTGAGCCCTAGATCAGTGGGTTCTAATTAGTTGAGGCTCTGGCATATAAAAATGGCTGTTTATTTAAAGCAGGTAATATTAGCCAGAGTTAGGGGCTCTGAGGGGGACGGGGAATAAAAGCTGTGAATATGGAAGATATAATACACTTCAGCTGTCTGATCACAGCCCTTACCTCTACTGGAAAGAGGGTGCTGTAGTAAATTTCTAGAGCTGCAGTTGCTCGGTCACGGGAGATGTGCATTATAATTTTGGTGGATCTTACAAAAATATACTCATAGAGGAAGGAGTAGGAGCCCTGGGTGGCAGTAGGACTTTTGCCACCTGTCCCTATCCCTTTTCCTGGCCCCCACCCTTGGGCAGGAATGTAACCTAGCAAGCTTTCTTTTCATCCCGCCTTTTCCTCAGCTCTTGCTGCCTCCTCCTGCTGCTCTTCCCATTCCCATTGGGCAAATTAAACAAGACTGTTGCACAGGGGGTCTAGATGGGCAGACTGTGGAACAGACCTGAGAGTTAGCCTCTTGCAGCCTCAGTTTCCTCATCTCTTAAGAGGGCAATAGTACCTGCCTTCTGGAGAAAGTCAAGAGGAGTCAGTGAAATAGTGCGTGGAGCCTCTATGACATGCCTAGCAGGTATCAAGTATTCAGTAAATGTTGGTTATTGATGGTGATGATGGGCTTTAGTAAGGAGGAGAGAGCAAAGGAGTGGCAGGGATCCCCTTTTACAGTTGTTGAGGCCAGTGTGGCAATGGCCGGATGCGTGCAAGTCCACAAATGTTCAGAATGCCCTCATCAGAGGTGGTCCTTCCCAGGATCCACTGTTGAGACCCGTGTGGCAGAGTCAAAGACCACAGCAAAGGCTGTGTGCGAGTTGAAAGCTGCTTCCAGGTGTGAAGGTGTCTCAAATTAAAGAAATCGGAAGAGCGCCAGGCTATGTCCAATGGTCGAATGAGCAAAGGAAGAGGAGGAGCTAACAGTTTTGAACTTCCCAACAGACCATTTCAACTAAGTCCTCTGCATGCATGCTTTTAAAAAGAAGTATTTCACATTCTTATCCAAAGTATAGTTTTTACAAACGAAACAAATTAAGTATTGTTAAAATAAGGATTAATGGTATTGAAGAAAAATAGCTTATATGTGCTTATTTTTGTTTCTGTTTTAAAATTAAAATACAGCAATGTAAATGTTTAGTTTGAGGGTTTTTTTTTTTTTTTGCTTAATATAATGTGACAAAAAGACTAGTGATTAATCTACTGAATTAAAAACTACTGATGTATTTAGTGAGTGGAATAATCAAGTTCATTAATGTTTTCTGAAGCAGCTGCAAACTTAGTCTAAATGAAAAACTAATATAAATAACTTCCCTGCATTATCAAAAGTGATTTCCATTCCCGAATGCCTGAGTTGGGAGGCATCTGCATGAAGCTTGTATCAAACTGCAAGACAGGGACTCATTCATCTTTGAATTCCTTTGGTTTTGTGCATGCAGAAAATTGAAATGGAATGAATGTTTCCTATAAATGTAGAAAAATAAATTCCCAGTCATTATGCCATTTAGTGATTACAGTTAAATCTAATACGTACTTGCAGCACATATAATTAAAGGCTAATTTCCTTGATTTGCAAAGAGTTTTGGCAATTCAGTAAAAAAGGTAAGTATGGGCAAAGGAGATGAATAGGCAATTCAAAGATAGACTTAGACAAATTGCCATTAAACATGAGAAAAGATGATCAACCTCACTTATAATTAATAAATGCACATCAAAGCCATGAGATACTGTTTTTACCTATTAGTTCCACAAAAGTGACAAAGTTTAATACCCGTTACTGGCAGTTATGGGGGGAATAGGCACACTTCCATGTGCTGTTGGTGAAAGAGGAATTACTGCCCCCCTTTTGGGAGGTAATTTGGCATTACTGATCAAAATGAAAAACTAGGAGGGCATCCTATTCTGATCAAGGGCACATGCCTGGGTTGTGGGCTCGATCCCCAGTAGGTGGTGTGCCGGAGGCAGCCGATCAATGATTCTCTCTCATTGATGTTTTTCTCTCCCTCTTGGAAATCAAGAAAAATATATTGAGAGAGAGAGAGAGAGAGAGAGAGAGAATAAACTCGTGCTGGGAAATTGCTGATACAGAGGAGTGGAAGATCATATTTGAACTTGATGTCTCTGTAAGAGGGGATGACTTCCTTTCCCTTAGTACCACTGGAGATAAATCAAGTCATTGGGTGTAGAACTTGTAATTTTTAATTGTCTTTTTCTCCCTTTAGCCTGGAAATGTGCCTGAGACTTAAATTCCCTCAGGAGTGTTGCTTGTTAACAGCTCTAGGCAGGAGCCTGCATCTCATTGTCACTGCCAAGGAAGTGCTAATGTAAAGGACAGGAGAGTGAAGCACTTCCTTTCTCATGTTGCAGTAAAGTGGAATCCCTCTCTTCGGTGTTAATCATGGTCTTTCGTTTTTTCTCTTCAGTGATTTCTTTTTTCAAGTGCAGTTCTTTACTTTTCTTCAGAGAAGATAAAAAGCCATACAGAGGAGAAAGAAGCCTCATTGTAAAACTATTTTCAGTTTTGCAGACTCTTACAGAAATACTGTATTTTTTTCCTTTTTCTGCTGTTTTCCCCCCCAAGACTCTGTACCTTTAAAAAGCCTAAACCCTCCTTCTTTTTGACCTTTAATTCCAAAAGTCACTGTTTACTCACCCTTGTGTCATGAAAACGCTGTAATGAATGGGTCACATTTGGACACTGGGTAGGGGCAGGCAGTGTCTGTGTTTCTAGAAGGCAGTCTGGGGTAGATATGAGCACGACCTCTGGAGCCAGACTAAGTTCATCCATTAGCGGTAGACCCGTGGCAAGTGTCTTAACTTCTTGTCCTGTTTCTTCATCTATGAAACAGGAACAATCGTAGTATTTTCCTCACGCAGTTCATAGAGGATCAAATGAGTTAATATATATAGAAGGTGTTTAGCACAAGTTAAGTACTCGTTGTATGTGAACTATTAAGCGCTTTTATTGCATTAATTTCCCTCATTTAATTATTAAGAAGTTGTGTTGGGAAGTAGTTCTTTCAAAACCTTTTGTAGATGAGGAAATCAGTTAACTGACTTGTTAAGTGATTTAAATGTTCATTGTTATTATTTTTATTAGAAAGTGGCAGAGCCAGGATTCTTCTTGAAGTCTAACTTCAAAGCAGTTCTCTTTGTTACACCATCCTGTGTCCCTAAAAAGAGTCTATAATAGCCAACCTTGACCATGTGCCAAGCAGCCATTGTGCTAAGTGCTTCCTTCTTCCTACATGTGTTCCTCATAACCAATAAGGCAAGGACTAGTATTCCTATTTTAAAGACAATAAAACTGAGACTCAGGTTATAAAGTACCTTGCCCAAAGTTTTACAAGTGGAAAGAAGGACCATTTGAGCACAGATCTGACTCTAAATTCATGCTCCTAATGGTTTTATTATATTTTTTTATCCTTTAAAAACTGGATGAGGTATCTTAACAATTTTTTAATGTTTCTTATTTTTAATAAGTAATACATTCACATAGTTGAGAAATTTTAAGAGTCTAAAAAGATTCACTGTAAGCTAATAGATTTTCTAGCTATCTCCTTGCAAGAGGCAGTTAAGATTTATTGTATCATTCCAGAAATATTGTGCGCATATCGATCTGTTGTGTATACTAGGTGTACCAGTTAATAATGCGGATTTTGTAATCAAAGAAAACACGATAATTTCAAGAGAAACATCAAAAGTGCTTTATTCAAAGTAATCTCCATCGCTAGCTACACATTTCCCCCATCTTTCAGGTAATTTGTGGATACTGTCCCAATGGAACTTTTCTTGTTTTGACGCAAACCATTCAGAGACCCAATTTTCCACTTCTTCGTACGTTTTGAAGTGCTGCTCAGGAAGTGCGTGTGCCATCGATCAGAACAAGTGGTCATCTGAAGGAGCGAGGTCTGGTGAATACGGTGGGTGGGTTAATACTTCCCAGACAAGATCCTTTAACGTGTCTTTAACTGGTTTTGAAGTGTGTGATGGTGCATCATCATGAAGCAAAATTACTTTGCTGTGTCTTCTGGCCCATTCTGGTCATTTTACAATCAAAGCGTGGTTCAGATTGACCTGGACGTTCTTTGTCTTTCACATTGAAATCATCACTTTAAAAGCGTTTAAACCAGCATTCACAAGTATCTTGAGATGGAGCATGTTCACCATAAGCTTCCCAAAGTATATGATAACTTTCAGCAGCACTTTCCTTCATAATAATGAATTAAAACTTCCCACAAATGCTTTTATTGGCACAAAATTTGACATTTTTAAGCGTAAAAATATCTATGATGTTGCCTTGACGGGTTTGGCTCAGTGGATAGAGCATCGGCCTGCAGACTGAAGGGTCCCAGGTTCGGTTCTGGTCAAGGGCAAGTACCTTGGTTGCGGGCACATCCCCAGTGGGGGGGGGGGGGGGGTGTGCAGGAGGCAGCTGATGGATGTTTCTCTCTCATGGATGTTTCTAACTCTCTATCCCTCTCCCTTCCTCTCTGTAAAAAATCAAAATATATTTTTAAAAAAATATCTATGATAGCACCTTTAGAAACTTTGACATATGAAGTTTTGAAGCTTGTTGTCAATACAACAGAATAGCATACATACCAAATCGCATATATATCAACATATGTGTAACTCCATCTATTGAAAAAATCTGCATTATTAACCGGTACACCTAGTATACAAATAAGGCAGAACATTATTTAGATGAATTTTATTTTTTACAGAATCCTCAAAACTAGGTGAAACAGGGAAATATTTTTTCTAAAATGAGACTAAATGCTCAGTCAGAGCTGAAATAGCCCTACTCTGTGTAGCATATTTTAATTTTGATCAAGATGAAAGTTTGGCAGTTAGGATACTGAGCTAATCGATCATTTGGTTATTTGACTTTAGGTGAATTAACCAAGACATGAAAGACTAAAAATAAGTAATAGGAAGAATGCTCAGGCAGAGCCTAGGAGGTACAGTAGCTACAGTGGTGGTGGTGCTATTTTGCCAGTTTGTGCTTCTGCTGCTTGTACTGGTGAGAAGTCATTGGTGAATTATGAAACTCTCTCTTTCCACAGATTACGCTTCATGTCAGTAGCAATGGACAGCAGCAGTTTTATTCAGTTTGATGTGCCCGAGTACAGCAGCACCGTTCTGAGCCAGCTAAATGAACTCCGCCTACAAGGGAAACTATGTGACATCATTGTCCACATTCAGGGTCAGCCATTCCGAGCCCACAAAGCAGTCCTTGCTGCCAGCTCCCCATATTTCCGGGACCATTCAGCATTAAGTACCATGAGTGGCTTGTCAATATCGGTGATTAAAAATCCCAATGTGTTTGAACAGTTGCTTTCATTTTGTTACACTGGAAGAATGTCCTTGCAGCTGAAGGATGTTGTCAGTTTTCTGACGGCAGCGAGCTTTCTTCAGATGCAGTGTGTCATCGACAAGTGCACCCAGATCCTAGAGAGCATCCACTCAAAGATCAGTGTTGGCGATGTTGACTCTGTTACCGTTGGTGCTGAAGAGACTCCAGAGAGTCAGAATGGAGTTAAAGACGGCGGCTTCTTTGCCAACCCAGTTGAGATCTCTCCCCCATATTGCTCTCAGGGACGGCAGCCCACCACAAGCAGTGATCTTCGGATGGAGACGACGCCCAGCAAAGCTTTGCGCAGCCGCCTACAGGAGGAAGGGCACTCAGACCGAGGGAGCAGCGGGAGTGTTTCTGAGTACGAGATTCAGATAGAGGGGGACCATGATCAAGGGGACCTGCTGGTGAGGGAGAGCCAGATCACTGAGGTGAAGGTGAAGATGGAGAAGTCAGACCGGCCCAGCTGTTCCGACAGTTCCTCTCTGGGAGACGACGGCTACCACACTGAGATGGTTGATGGGGAACAAGTTGTGGCGGTGAATGTGGGTTCCTATGGTTCTGTGCTCCAACACGCATATTCCTTTTCCCAGGCGGCCTCACAGCCAGCCAGCGTATCAGAAGCTTTTGGAAGTTTGAGTAATTCCAGCCCATCCAGGTCCATGCTGAGCTGTTTCCGAGGAGGACGGGCCCGCCAAAAACGGGCTTTGTCTGTGCACCTGCACAGTGATCTCCAGGGCTTGGTGCAGGGTTCAGACGGTGAAGCTGTGATGAATAACCCTGGGTACGAGAGCAGTCCCCGGGAGAGGAGTGCAAGAGGTCACTGGTACCCCTACAACGAGAGGCTCATCTGTATTTACTGTGGAAAGTCCTTCAACCAGAAAGGAAGCCTTGACAGGCATATGCGACTCCATATGGGAATCACCCCCTTCGTGTGCAAGTTCTGCGGGAAGAAGTACACGCGAAAGGACCAGCTGGAGTACCACATCCGGGGCCACACTGATGATAAACCATTCCGCTGTGAGATCTGCGGGAAGTGCTTTCCATTCCAAGGTACCCTCAACCAGCACCTGCGGAAAAACCACCCAGGAGTAGCTGAAGTCAGGAGTCGCATCGAGTCCCCTGAGAGAACAGATGTGTACGGGGAACAGAAACTAGAAAATGACCCATCAGCCTCCGAGATGGCCCTAGATTCCCGGATGGAAATTCATACAGTGTCCGATGCTCCTGATTAAGATGGTAAAGAAGTGCACCCAAACAAAGCACATTAATCCATGCATATTTGTGATTTGCTTTGTTGTAATCTTTAGTTTTCCCAACCATCTGGAAATCTCTTGGTCTCTTGGCAGTTTTTCTAAGGGTTCTGGAAGGAACACTTCATTGTGTTTATTCTTCTTCCGTCCTCCCTTCCCCAAGGAGCTCAAAGCATGAAGGGCATCATATCCAGGGAAAACACAGGCTGACAGTATTCCTCTTTGGCTGAACTCTTAATCCAAAATCTGCCAGTGATTTAGCTATGCCAACTGGTTGACCCTGTATTCTCTGCCAAGAGGCATACTCTCGCTGGGCCATCATGCACTGGCACCAGTGCATCTCCATGGAGAGAGACTAGGATGCCATCAGCCGATATAAATGGGTAACCTTTTCTAATTTAAAATTACTTTTACGGAATAGTTAGACAATTTATATATATATATAATAAAGTGATTATTATATATATAGTATATATATACATTCTCAAATTTGGTTTTATTCTGGTTGAGGTGAATGTAAGAGGAATATATAATTTAATACAATGTGAACAGGGCTTTTGACTCTGTCATCCCTACCTAATATGTTAGGGTTTTGCCCCTTTATTTCCCTTAGAAAAGAATGTTAATAGGTTTTCATATACATTAATTATTGTGTCCAAAAGCAAGCAAAGCAAATCACAGTGTTCATAGCTCTGCTTCATAACAAATACATAAACCAAATGCCATAAAACCTATTCAACTCTGGTTGGAAACCATTTGGAATTTTTGTTAGTTGTCCAGTGGGTAAACTGGATGACCCGTGGTGCTGACCCTTTTTACATATTGTAGTGTTTTATTAGCCAACCCCAAAGGAGCCGTGGTTTTCAGTGTTTTTACTGGCCTCCGAATCTACCTTCATTCCGTACTGTAGAAACATACACACCAGGTAACTAAATCGAATCACTCTAATGTGAGTTACTACTCGCACTAAAGGAAAGGGATTTGTAGTTCTGTCTACAATATTTTCCAAGCAGTGTTGTAGGGTTTTATTTTTTTTTTCTTTCTCTTTTCAAACAGCCAGTTCAGGTGCACAGCAACTTTTTCTACATGCAGTTCCCAGGGAAACTGCACAACTTGGAATTTGTACTTTTGTAAAGATATACTCTATGGGAATTGCAAGCAATATATCTATCTTAGGATTGTGTGTGCTAACGAGAGCCTCCGTGGCTCCCCCACTCTCAGTGTTTCCTGCTTAAAGAAACCAACAGTTAACAAGCCCTCTGAGAGCCTCTGTGTGTCACCAAATCTCTGTGTGTCACCATTTATTTTTTTGGTCACGTGGTGCTATCTTTATGTTATGTATCTTTTAGGTCAGTATAGTTGTAGAAAATGTGAAATCTAAGGGGAATAGTGAATTTCAGTTTTTTCCCTCTCTTGAGTTTCTAGCTTGAAAAGAGACCTCAAAAACATGTGCTGGCAAACACATTTACTGTATGAAAACATACCTGAGTCCTGTTGAATAATATTTTATTAGTGCTTTAGGAACTGTCTTCAGTTCTATATTTTGTCCACCCATGGGCTCTACAAGATTGCTTTGGTACTGTAACCTCTGACAGTAATTTGGTGAACAGTTTGGTGGTGGGTTTGTGCTGAAGGTTGCGAGGGGGAGGTCAGCACTCCATACACTCGCCCTGAGAGCCTTGGCTCTGAAACTCACGAGGTCGTCTCCTTGGGAGAACAGCACAAACCACCTGAGAGAAAACAAACAAAGTGGCAACCTCAGAGGCTAAGAGTTAAAGGAAAACAAAAATAGATGTTTGCTGGTTTTCCATGCTTTTTTGACTCTTAAAATACCAAGAATGGTGGGGGTTTGGGGATTATTTTTTTGTTTTGTGGGGGTTATTTTGAGAAAAAATGAGTCATTCAAGCCCCTGTGTGCGACAGTCCCAGGGGTGGTGGCTGTGCAGCGGCATCTCCTTAGCACACAGGATCTGTTCACATGGGTGCTGCTGCGCTCCACATCAGTGTTACTACGTACAGTTCCACTCGAGTCCTGCTGCTCCGGGAGCAGCTCTTGCTAAATCGGGTATTGTATGCCTTTTTCCTGTCGAACTGCCTAAGTAAGGGGCCCGTCTCTCCCTGCAGCACTTGCTCAACCCCGTCAAAGCGGCGAGCCACAGGGGGAGGCTGGACCCCAGTGTTTACCCACTTAAATATGTCCTGGGGTTTCAGGTAAATGTTTGTGATTTATGTTTCCTTACATGAATCAGTTTGGCTTTGATTTTTTTTTTTTTTTAAGAATGAAATGCAAAAAAATTGTTTTGTGATACAAAATTAGGTTGGTGGCAAGAAATTCCCAAATCGAGGACATGAGAGGTGAGGCTCAGGGAAGGCACCTCCTTTCACTCAGGCTTGGGGCCTTCTGAGAGGTCCCCAGAGCATTTTGTGATTGATCAGAAAGACAAGGTAGGAGGGGAAGACACTTTGGGCGAGCACCTCCAATGTCCTAGTTCTTGTCTCCGTGTCTGTCTTAATGTTATTTACATGGAGTTCTTTGTATATGTCAATTTGTTTATCTGGTTTGAGTTTACCAAAGAGTGACTTATCCAAAATTGTCTTTGACAAAAATATACATTGCTTTGATTGTACAGTTCAGGTTCAAACATTGTAATGGGACTGTTAAGGAGCAGAAAATTGATTGAGTTTCCCTCGAGTAATCATAATTCCACATTTTGCAAGTTCCACTTGCTCCCATTCATGTTGCTAACACTTTACCCTTTCCACTGCTAGCAGTGTTAAGAAAGAATTCTCAAGCCATAACACAGTACTGTAAGGTTCCACAGGGCTTCGAGGGAGGCAGCACGGAGGCCAGCACGCAGCCGTCGCCTCTGAGCGTGTGCACTGCCGTGCTTCTCAGTGTGCGTGGCGGGTGAAAGATGACTCCATTCAGATCGGGCAGCAGCAATACTTGTGCCTTGTCACATGAGGATGTGCCAGGAGGATTAACGGGACCACAGAACAGAAACATTCTCTCCCCGAAGTTCACCTCACGTCTCCACAGACGAAGTACGCCGTGTAACTCCTTTTGGAAAGCAAAGTCCCTATTTCTGTACAGTTTTAGATTAGATGTTTCATTTATAACAAATGCAGAAATCAATTAAGATAAAAGTGATATGTGAAGAAATCTTTTACAGTAAAATATATCCTGAGTTCACCTAGGTCTGTTCATAATTGAGTCTCTTCTTGAGCTACCTTTTCCATACACAGGCAATGTGAAGACAGCGGCAGTGTCCTTTCCTATAGGGTTTTACCTGTTATTACAAACTGTGAAAACAAAGACTTTTATACTTGTACTGTTTGTGGTTCTAAACAGTTATTTTCATTCTAATCAGTTCTCTACCCTCTAATTTCTACTAAAGCTGTAAATACATTTAGAAATTATATTTGTAAATATAGTATATGAAGACAAGTTAATTTTTGGTCAGCGGGAAAAACCTCCCAGTTGACCCTGCCTTGGCAGGTTTTTTGTGTGTGTGTGTGTGTGGTTTTTTTTTTGTGTGTGTGTGTGTGTTTTTTTTAACAGCAGAGAAAGGATACTGTCGGTTCACTGTTAAGCAGAATATACTGTAGAACTAAATTGATCATTTTCAATCTTCCAGAGCATGAGTAGGTGTCTTTTCTAACGATAGCAGTTATAACCAAGTCTTTGTTTCCCCTTAGCCCAGATCATAGGCCTGCATATTTTTTTGCCTGTGGTTTTGTTTTTGCTTTTGTTTTTACAGCCTAGGCTCTAGGAAGAATTTACAGGAACACAAAACAAGGGCTGAGGGGGGAAGTCATCTATGTGAATGAGCTTTACTTTAAAGAAATCAGTGTATTTTATTTTAACAACCTTTTCTATTAGTTACTGTGATTTTGTTGTTGTCGTCGTCGTTATTGTTAAATTCTGTAATGGTTTCCTGTGAAGCCTCCACTGAAAGGGACTCAAATATGCAACACCTAAACTATTTTCCAAGGGCACACGCCCCTTGAATGGTGCTTCTAGACTGGTCAGGGTTATTTATTAAATTTTATATATGAAAGTATTGGGGAACTATGTAAATTCTTTATATGAAACTATCTAGTTCATAAATCATAGATTTCATATTACTCAGTGCAACTGAACTAAGAGTTCAGAGGAGTCATTCACATTGTTCCAAATTTGTAATGGTTGTCACATGCCACATACGTCTTTTTCAGTAAGTGCCAGGGTGTTTCCACTGTTTCTGCCCAGTGCTTGACCTCTTGGCCCGGAAGAGAACCTGTGTTCTCTGGGTCTGCACAGACAGGGCTGTTGTAGTTCTTGATCAAGTCCTGGAGTGAGCCTTGCAGCAGATTCAGTACATGGACCTTTTGCTGCCCCTCAGTGACAAGTATGCTGTGAATTCAACCATTGGACTTGCTGCCCAAGCCTTTGGTTGCTGCCCTGACTATAGTAAAAGGTAAACTTACCTAGTTTCTTTGAAAATGACCATTTTCCTAATGTGAAAACCATCTATCTCTCTCACCACTTTTATTAGTAGGGCTAACTTTTTTTCCGTTATAAATGGTTGAGCAATTTGAATGACTTAACAGTGTCATTATCTTGCAATATAAACTGGTAACCTCACAACTCCACACTTCATCACCACATGAAGTAAATGAAGCTAGCTAAGCGGATGCTGTATCAACTAGTAACTTGCCATTAAGGATTATTTTATAGCATGAATTTAAGACTTATTTATTCAAATGATATTTTACTCTTGTATTCATTTTGTTTCAGATTTGTGACATGAATATTTCAGTGCTGCTTAATTTTGTTCTGAATTCTTGTTTCTTGCTTGTAAATGGCTTTTTTATGGTATAAATAAAGTCCATGGAAATTGCTGTTTGTAAATAAAAATGCTGCTAGAGCAAACGTGCTGTGGTCTCCTCTGTGTCTGCCCCTCTTCACTAACAAACATCCGCAATGTCATAGTTTCTGTAACCACCGTTTTCGAAAGATTAGGATTTCATAAACGCTCTTGTGCCACTGCGGTGCTGGGAAGAGGAGAAGGAAGCTGGTCTGTTTCTGACCTTGCTTTTGTGTGGCCAAGACTGGGTTTTCAGGGGCCCGGTGTGTCCTCAGGCGTCCCCAGGCGAATCCCTGTGAATCATCTCCCCACTGGCCTGCGTAAGTACCCTTTGGCTCCTTTGAATGTGTCTTGTTCTCCTGCCAGAGGGCTTGGAACTGCACGTGCCGTCTCCAACTTCTCTCTCAGTCTGTAACTCCTCTTCAGTTGTTAGCTCAGCGAGGGTTCCCTTCCCACAGCAGCCCTTCCAGGTCAGGCCCCTTTAACAGAGACTTTTATTGAGCTGGGTACCTGTCCTTCAGAACACTTACTTCAATTGGTAATTGTATATTGACTAGTGAGAATATTCAATTAACTAGAGGCCCGGTGCACAAAAACTGTACACAGGGTGGGGGATGGGGGGGGCGGTCTCTCAGCAGGCACAGTTGGACATCCTTAGCGCTGCTGCGGAGGCAGGAGAGGCTCCCGCCACCACCGCTGCGCTTGCCCTGTGGGAGCGCACTGACCACCAGGGGGCAGCTTTTGCATTGAGCGTCTGCTCCCTGGTGGTCAGTGCGTGTCATAGTGACAGTCATTCTACCATTGGGTCAATTGCATATTAGCCTTATATTATATAGGACTAGAGGCCCGGTGCATGAAAATGTGTGCACTGGGGGGGGGGGGGTCCCTCAGCCCAACCTGCCCCCTTTCACAGTCCGGGAGCTCTCAGGGGATGTCTTACTGACAGCTTAGACCCGCTCTCCCTGGGGAGTGGGCCTAAGCCGCAGTCTGGCCTCCCTCTGCGGAAGGCGACCAGGCCGATCAGGGGAAGGTGCCACCCCCATCACCCCATTGCTGCCTGAGCCCTAGGCCTTGAAGCCACCGGGGCTCACAGCTGCCTGAGCCCACGGCTGCCTGAGCCCCCGGCCTCGCAGCCGCTGTGGCTTTGTCTGGATGGACGTTGGAAGATGTCCACTCTAATTAGCATGTTACCCTTTTATTAGTATAGATGTTTCTCCTAACCTGTAAGTTCCATGACAGAAAGGACCCCGGACTGTTTCCCCCACCTGTAAATCCTTAGCACAGGATCTGTCACCACAGCAGGTACACATTAAGGACTAAATGAATGAGCAAATGCATGTGTTCTGGGAGGGTTGAGTAGGACTGTTGCCTGGGAAGTGGGTGGGGATCAAACCTGGCTTCTACGCTGCTAGAGCCAGCTTGCTCCTTGGTGTAAAACCAGGTCTCTTCCTTCTCACTAGGGTTTCTTCTATATAGGTGAGTGGGCAATGAGCTGGTGCACAGTGCAAGAGGTCAATGTAGGAACCAGCTTCACTTGCCAGCTGGGGGCCTGGGGACTCCGAGGTACTCAAGGGTATGATGGAGAAAGTGCACTGACTTGCCAGTCTGGAGACCTGGTGTCCAGCCACCGGAAGCAGACACACTGAGTCAAACCTGATGTGCAGATGAGCAGATATATTGCTGGCGAAGGCCCTTGGCAGTAGCTGGCTCTTTCCATTGGTCCTGAAGTCATGGTCTGTCTTCATTTTTGTTTCTTCCAATTACAATACATACAGCTGGCCAAGCCCGCCTGGCTTTAGGGATGTTTATGGTATCCTTTATAATGTTGAAGGACCATCACCAATCCCTTATTGCTTGCTGGTCTTCACCTCTGTTTCCTGGACCATTTCCTCAAGCCTCAATGACTTAAACATCTCACATGATGTTTTCTTTTTGTTTTTCAGAACAGGACTAACTTGCATACCTTTTGTCAGCAAACAGGGCTCAATTTTCTCAGAACACAGGTGTTAAAAAGAGGCCACCTCCAAGGAAACAAATGTTGGGGGACATTACAACCTGGGGGAGTGCCTTGGAGCCCTCTCTGGGTGATTCCTGTGCGAAGCTGGGCTAGAGGTATAATGCAGTCAGCCCCGGGTAACCTGCCTGGGACGGCAGGCCAGAACTGCCTCCCTTTCCTCTCCAACTCAGACAGCAATCAGGTCCCTGCCCTCATCTTCGAAAGAGGTTGCCTACTAGGACTTCTTTTGCTCCTGCCTCTGCCCTAATGGAGCTTGGCTCTGATCAGTCTGGCTGGTCCTCTAGGGGAGAGCGACATTCCCTCTAGAGGCGGCCAGCTCGGTGTTGCTGGCGGTTGTGCTGTCTCCTCCAGCTATGTAGACAAGCCCGCCCCAAGCGTTGCTGGGGAGACAGTGAGGTCCTGGCACTCAACACATTTCTTCATCCCTTTTGGCCTCGGCCTTGGCACTCTGATCAGCCCTTGGGCATTCTTCTTTGTGTCCCAACACAAGATCTGCCCCTGTCGTACTCACTGGGCCCCGCTAGTGGCCGTGAGTGGCCCAACCCTCTGAGCTAGAATGGATTGCAAGTTTGTACCACCTTCTGGTGCCATGTGAGTGTGTGTGTGTGTTCTCTAAAATGTGCAAAGTGGAGGATAAATCATTCTGAATTGTTCCCCCTTTCCCAGAGTGCTTAACATGGGAGGGAAAGACCCTTCCACTCTCGTAGGAGTGGGAAGGGACCACCCAGGCTCTCTACTCCCTGCCTCCCAATGCTGGGACTACTGCAGTAGTCCATGGAAGTAATCTCCAGTTTCTACCTGCTTGTGGAAACTGGCTGCCTCCCAAGGCACTGCATAGTTGACAGCTGTCCATGCTAGAAAGTCCCTCCTCCTCCGAGCACAAAAGCCACCCGCCTGGAGTTAGGCTCTTGGTTCTTGGTTCTTCTCCACAGGACCCCAGCACACTGCAAACAGGCAATGACTGCAGCCCCGGCTCCCAGGCCTCTCTTGGGGCTTTTCTAGACTTAATGTGACTCTGGGCTATTTTTCCCATCTGCTGGGCCATGAGGACATCTGTCTGCCCACCTCCCTCTACTCTGGGGTTTTCACAAACATTATTATGAGACATGTTTCCGACAGAATTTTGTTGGAATTGAGGTGGTGGAATCCATAACTTGGAAGAACACTTCTTTGGCAAACAAATTACTTTTGTGGGACTGTTATTTTAAGTAGCCTGTCTCTGCCAGACATTCTAGTCATCGCACATCCAGCTCCCTGGAGCTGTTTTCAGGTTTTCTGTTATTTTTTTAACCCCTCAGCTCCTTCCCTTTCTCCCCTTACATCTCC